ATATGTTTTGTATTAAGAAAATTGATATTTAAAATCAATTTTTATTAATTTTAATAAATTCAACTCCTTCACTATAAAAGCATAATATAACAACTATCTTCTAACCTGTTTAACAATGTTTCCATCTCTTCCTCTCAGTCCAGCAAAGAATCTACTTTAAGACTCTGCTGTTGGTTAAAAGGGGAAGTTAGGCTCATATCACTTCCTTTCTTCCTCTCAGTGAGGTTAAAGACATGAACATTGCAGCTCTTTATTTGGTCAGCGTATTCAGAAGTTCTCCTCTGATCAGTAACAGGACACTCTTCAGGCTGTTTAGAGCTAAATTTAAACATTACATTCTGGATAAAATAATCCTGCATCTGAGGGCAGCTGAGTGAACCAGAGAGCAGAGATGAAGGCCGTCGTTGGAGTCTTACTGATTTTGCTCCGAGTTTCTCATGGTGAGGTTTTTATCTATTTTTACCCAGCACCACATTCGTTCCTTTCCATTTAAATAATATGTTTTAAAATGTTGATGTTTAAGTTTCTTTTCAACTGACAGTTTTGAAAACTAAGTTTCTTTGAGGGTGTAACATATGAAAAGAAAAAGAAATAATAATAAAAAGAAAATCCAAACTTCTAATAGGATTGAAATGTCCTATGACCATTCAGGCTAGTTTGATTTGCTTTCCTTATTATTATATAATGAGTACAGCTAAAATTGTTTGAAAAAATAAATAAAAGTTACAGTTGATATACAAAAAATATATTAATATATTTTAATTTCTTTTTAGTTTTTTATCCTCTTACATTTCATGTAAAGTTTAAATTAAAACCTTTAAAATAAAAGATAAATCAATTGAACATTACATTAAATATTTGTTGGAGTAAAGATCCAGTGTTGAAATGTTAAAGGCTGTTCATTTTGTTAATTTATGTTTTTGAAGAAAAAGATTAAGGATTAAGGATGTTATTTATTTTCATTGAAGATAATGATTAATATTATTCTTTAAGGTGCAGCTGTTTCCTGTGATGGCCGACAAGATGGAGCTCAGTATTATGGAGCTTTGGGAGGATCAGTGGAGCTTCCACTGGAGGACGACGTCTCACAATTACGCCGTGTTGAATTAACAAAGAATGGCAGTGTATTTAAGGGGTTGACCAACAAACCAACAGAAAGCTGGAAAGAGGGAAGAATTCTCTTTTATTCAAATAATGGATCATTTAGGATCAGTGACCTGAAGATGAGTGACAGCGGTGAATATAAACTTAGAATGTTTGATAAAGATGGAAAGGAAAAAGGATCTAAAACTGTGCAACTGTGTGTTCAAGGTAATCCACTGTTTATCTTTTACCTTTTTACATTTTCTACTCTTCGTTTTGCTTCCTCTACTTTAAATGTTGTACTGATACTAAATACAAAAATCTTATAACAGCCTTCAATATAAATTCTGTATCTTTCCAGTTTTCTATCAAAAGGTTAAGAAGACGGTTCCTGTAATCAATGTGTTTTTATCCCTCAGCTCCTGTGTCTTCTGTAAAGCTGGTCTATCAGTGTTTGCCCCAGGTACAGATCAAGGTGTCCTGTCTCTCTGAAGGGGACAGTCCTCAGTACAACTGGACTCTGGATGGAAAAACACTGACAGACTCTGAGCTCCTCTCTGGAAATAATCAGACTAACATCATCGTTCTAAAACCGTATATATCAGGGCGTCTTTTCTGCTCAGTCAGGAATCAAGTCAGTTCATCCTCCAACAAGATCAGCATTCCTGACTGTGGTGAGTGAGAAAAATATGATAAACTAGTTGATGGTTATGATCCTACATGACATATAATCCTGTTTGTTTCTAGGCTTCATATTCATTAACTGCACCATCAATGGGACAACAATAGCTAAATGGGTGTATCAAGAAAATAACACCCTGTGTGTTGAACCAACAACTGTCCCTCCAACAACTAAACATAGTAGTGTGGGTAAGGAGACACAGTCAATTTCCTTACCTCATAATCCTGAGAACCATAATCAACCTTGGTACATTAGTAAGTGAAAATTAAACTCTGTTGTGTTTGTTTGTGAATAATACCCTTTTTCATTTTTTTAAGTTTTCATAAATCCTGTAGAGTAACTCTGGCCTTTAAGATCTGTGTTTGTCTGATGTTTACTTGTTTTTAAACAGGGCTATTGCCAATAATAGCTGGCGTTCTCACAGCATTGGTAATTATCTTGATGGTCTGCATCGCATTCATCTGTTACTTCAAGAAAAAGAAAAGCCCCAGAGGTAAACAGTACAGCTTTCTACTTGGTTATTGATTCAAGGACAGACCTTATAATTCATCAGCTTTACCATTTTTTTGCTTTTCAGCGGTGGAGGAAGATGACCAGGAACTGACCTATGCTGATGTTAGGGTTGTGAAAAATCAGGGAAAGAAAGTGGAGCTAAGTGCGGACGTTGATGTGGAGTACGGCCAGGTCAAGTTTTCAAAGAGACAGAGACCAGAGCGGGCTAACCCAATAGTGGAGGATACTTTATATGCACAAGTAAACAAAGGAAGGTGATTTAAAATGTCCAACAAGCCTATTTCTGCATGTTACCTAAAAGACTTTTCTTGGATTACCTGTTAAAAATACAAGTCAGGAGCTTTTTAATGGAGGCATGGGCAGCTGTCTCGCCTTCCACACAGTCTGGGCCTCAAATTCCCCACCTTATATCCTCTTTCTGTCTTTTACACCGATGAATGAAGGACAGTATTACCACAAAAAAAAAAAAAAAACTTTAACAGAGTGACTTATTATACCTGAAGCTGCTTTTTTGTCAAAGCATCGATTAATTTGTGTTTGAACTCATCATAAAAGCGATGCCTGCTTCTTTATGATAAAAGTTTTTGAGCTACAACATGTAAAAAAAACCCACTTGAAATGAAATTTTTTCAGTTGTTTTTATTTTTAAATTGTATTTACATTAGTAAATTATTGTTACATCAACACATTAAAATATCTTTATGTAATACTTTTTAATTTAATACCTGTTTGATAAATAGTACTTGTAAATAATACTACCGGTATATTACCAAAGCGACTCATTTTGTGTTTATGTATATCTGACTGTATACTTTCAACCATATAAAAAAAAAAACTATATCTGCATAATATACTCTTCAGTGTCTGTACAGTACTAAAATAAAATATCTTTGGCCAAAATCAGCCATACATTTGCAGCTTGTGAGCGACTCTGTGATCATATCTCCATTTGGTATCACAGTAGACGAAGAAAAGAGAGAAATGCTTGGTCTCCTGGGAAGTTTTGTATGTAAGTCTCCATGACGTAAGATCTTTAACGCAATGATACTTCAAATTTTGGTGAATACTAAACTGTTTTACCTACGCTGTCCTACAGTACATAAGAAACCAATGTAATCTATTTTATCTAATTATTGTTTTAGTTTAGTTTTACTCTATTTAGCAGAATAACTGTCTGATGAAACACAGGTTTCCATCTTTCACACACAAGCAAACACCCTCCTACACATAAATGGAGAACTGAAAGGTTAAGGTTCTTTTAATATTCAGCACATTTGGTTTAAGGGGAAGTAATATCAAACAGCATGTCAGACAACAGAGGAGAGGTTGTGTTTGCCTTTCAAAGGGCTGAAGTTATTCTTTCTATATTTAATCAAAAGACTACTTGTGGTTTCCATTTACGAGAACAGTAATGTATGGATCATATTTTAGATCTCTACTCTGCATCAGATGTAGTTAAAGTGCGTAGCAGTTAAACTTTATTCAGGTGGGTTAAGAAAAAAAAGTAAGCTATCAAAGCCTATTTTTAAACAATCTCTTTAAATCAGGACTCAAAATGAATTGTACAAATACAATAATATAACAGGTACATTTTAAATACTTGGATGAAAACTCTTTGCTGGTAATAACAGTTGGAAGTCTTGAACTACTGGACATCAGCAACCCCTGGGTTTGCTCTTTTTCAGTGCTCTGTCAGTCAGGGGCGTAACTAAAATTGAGGACACAGAGGTTATGTACCATGTATTATTTGTAACTTATATATTTTGTGATATATATAAACTTTTAGTATAAATTAATGTAGGACGATGATCTAGGTCTTCCACAAAACTGTGGGGTGTTTATTTATTTGGAGAGCCAAGAATAGTGCAACTGTGTAATTAAAGAAAGGAGCTCGAGTGTTTGGGCATAAGTGGTGTGCACCACCAACCTGCACTGTCACTATAGTAACTGCTACACACAGGCCATAGATGCCGTAAGTCAGTCTGTCACTCACCGCAGTCACTGGGAGAGGAGCATGTCGAGCTACAAATGCAGGTGGAGTGCAGTTTAAGTTGTAGATGACAGTGAGGAAAAAAAAACATTTCCATGAGAAAAGATTTCAGCATAGAAAGCTACTCAGTCAGCAAGGAAACATAGAACCAAAGTTGATTTTACTCCTTCTCTGATAGTCGTCAGTCTATTTCCAGCAGTTGAATCAACATTTATAATGTGATCAATGTGTTAGCGACTCCTGGAAATGAAAACTTAACGTTTATTCATCATTGGTTTCTCAGTCTTGGATGTTGAACCTGTTTTATTGTACAGCTGTATGAGATCAGTGCAGCAAGTTGGTACAGATCAGATCAGGCGGGACAGGAAGCCGTGGGCAGAAGCAAAATAGACCATGTGGTTAATTTTCAAAATAAAAGCCTAAAAAATTTTCGTGGTATCTTGCCCTCACTTCAAGGGTCACCATATTAGTCCATCAAAAAGCCTCAAAAGCCTCAATATGCCCCATTTTTAGTTAGTGCTGTAATGTTGCAAAACAAACCAGATTCTTTCTCAAGGTTTATTCATAACATGTTACTGTTAACCAAAGTGTCTGTAATTTGTTTTGACTCTGACTACTTTTCCATTGTTGTAATTAAGGAGGAACGAACGCTGCTCATGCAGAACAGGGCAGAATGTTGTGCCATAAGTTCTGTATGATGAACTGTTCTCTCTTTGCAAAGATATGAATAAATGTGCCGACTGAGTGGAATCCGTCGCTCTCCGTTTATCTAACTAGGGTGAATAGTTGAATACTGTTTTCCCCACGACAGTACGAATCAGCCATTAGAGACCTTATTATTGCTAACACTCATACTTGGCCTTCAGCATGTACTGCTAGGATTATAAGGCCATGAGTAAGGATATATAAGGCAGTACAACTGCTTCTATATTTGGCAAGCCAGCCAGAATTCTACATTTTACATTCTTACATCCTTAAATAGGTTAAATTCCTAGCTATCTGTATGGAGCCAAATAATATCTGTAAACAGACCTATGCAGGGTTTGCAACAGCAGGGATTTGTTTCATTTAAACATCAAACTTTAGACAAATAAGATGAAAAGTTCATTATTTCTGTCTCCAATACGTAAAAGCAAACAAAGCATCTTAAGAAGTTAATTCAGGAATATTACATAAATGGGAGATTATATAATCTACGGTATGTGCATAAATTGGAACAGAAGTCTAAGATAATAAGAGACAATATTTTCAGTGTTTATTTTTAGGGCAAAGATCACTAAATTGCCCCTAGATGATGCCTCCACCCCGTGACAAAATGGTTGAGCCCAGGGACGTAACACAGTCTGAGAAGAACGCCTGAGAGCCAAGAGTGGTTTGTTTATATTAAGGGTTTAAGGGTTGCATTGTAAATTCAAATTATTATTTTACTCATGTTTTTCTTCCCTTCTGTCATTAACATATAATTGGGGGATTGATGCACTTCAAGCAAAAAAGGACCCATGAACTCTTTGATGAGAAGGACCTTACAGAGGAATAGAAAAGTGTCATGGTTCTGGTTATGCTGTGCTTTACTTTGCTCCTTGTTTTCTAGTTTTATTGGTTTAATTCCTATTTTGTTGTAATTTCTAGATCTATGTTCTCATGTTTTTCTGTTGTCCTCTGTTGTCCTCTGCCCTCTTGTGTGTGTGTGTGTGTTCCTTTCCCCTTGGCTCCCTCGTTGTCTCATCACACCTGCTCCTTGTCAGCTCGTTAGCCCTGCCTTTGTCTCTGTCAGCTATTTATGCTCTCCCTCTGCTCTCAGTCTTTGTTGGTTCCTCTGTTGTTGCTGGTCCTGTCCTCGCTGTAGTCGTCTCCCCTCGTCTCTCCCTGGCTCCTTGTATGTGTTTTCCATTGCCGTATCCATGGTTCTGGTCTGTTACATTTTTAATTGGGTTTTTTGGACTGCCTTTGTTTACCATTTTCATTAAAACTACAAGTATCCACCTCAGCCCCTCTGCATTTGGGTCCTCCAAACCACAACCAAGACTTGACAAAAAGGTGATGAAGTTTGATTTTATTTATCTCACACTAGGTTGTGTTAAGAAGTATTTAAATTACAAGATTTCTGAAATAATTGTGGAGCGATTTGAAACTCTAACACTGATTGCACAGTAGGATTGGACCCCCAATTTTTTTGGGTAAAGTTTTCTCCTGTTTTTGTCGTCTTAGGAAGGTAAGATGATTGTATTTTCTTTCATGTTTTTTTTGAACAGGTAAGACGGTTGAACAAAAGAGAGACTTTTTTTTTTTGTATTATCAGAAAGTTTAATTCTCTGAGTTTTGAGTTTTACAGATTATTGGAGGATATTTGGAAATATTAATAATTGCAGATCAGGGAGAAGATAAACCAAGAGACAATGGGACATTACTGCAACAATCAAAGTTTTATTTTTAATTTGAACCTTGAATACAGAAACTGGACTCATGAAGAAACAAGTAAAGATGTGATATATCTCTACATTTGGTTTCAAGATACTGGTCAGTTTCTCTTTCCTCTCAGAATAACATCTGACAGGGAGATTTAAGGACACTGGGACAAGGACTGCCCTCACTTTGGATGTGCATAAGCCATGGAAACATGAACGATATGCGAGGCCCAGGAGACCATGACAACATAGGAGCAGACTGACTGAACTCAAATAATAAGGGAGGTACGTCAAAGAGTAATGAAAGGACAAGAGGACCAGCAAACTCTAGCTACACGTCAAAAGGATGCAACTCCAAGGAGCGACTGAGAGGACCAGATGTGACGAAAGCAGCACAGGGGGAATGGGATCCTTCTCCAATTGAATTAGATAAGTCCAACACTACGTACTACAATAGGAGGATTGGAGTGATATGAATATCATTGTCTATAATTGGCTGACATTTGCTGATAAGAACACTAATTGTGGTTTTTCTGTCTTACTCATTTTGAGGGGATGGATTGTAAAGACCTGTGACCCCAGGAATAAGACTTGAAACCTTCGACTTCCGCCTGCAAAATGCTGGAGGCGGGAACCTGTGATCCTGTGTTCATGCCTTTTAAAAGCCAAGGACAGAGCCCTGAAGTGAAAGAACAATTTTTTTTTTTGTTTTTTCAACAGGAAAGAAGACAACACAAGTATCATGTCAATTCCTCTCACCTGCCCTCTTCCTTCCCTGCCTCAATTATAATTTATTCCCCTCACCTGTTTCCTCTTGTTTATATTCGGTTCAGCCTGAGCCTTCTGTGCCA